AATGGAGCAGACAAAACCCTACAAACCAACCCCACCAAACCCCTTCAAACCATCCAGATCCCTCATGTTTTAGACACTGATTTTACAACAAGTGAGGAACCAGCCCCTCAAAAAAAAAAAAACGTTCACAGGACAAAATAAAAAGTGTTGTTGCCACCTCTGAGAACAAAATCACCGAAATCCAAAGGTGAAGAAGCATCCTTGGGTTTCTCACTCATAAATTAGCAGGGGAAAAAATGGTATTTTTTCGTGGGGCTTTCAGACTAATTTCAGCTAAAAATGAGAAGCATCACACGAAACCTCCCAGACCTGAGAGTGAAGGGAAATGCAGGTGTGCAGGACCTCAGCTCCCACCTGCAGAGGGGTCGGTGAACGGCTCAGAAAAGGGGCTCAATCAGCTAAAAGGGGCTACATTAGGTAGGGGAGGAGGAGGAAGGGGAGGAGGAGGAAGAGCAAGAGGCTCCATCACCCCCTTCCCTCTCCTGGGGCCATCCAGGCTCTTCCCACCCACCCACTGACCACATCCTGTGGTGGGAACAGCCCCGAGCTCCATATCCTCATCCTCATCCTCCTCCAGGACTGAGCCCCCAGTTGCCCTCACAGCCCCTCTGGAGCTCCTCAGCCCCTTCCCTTTCCCAGCCTGGGCCATTCCACATCCTCATCCCACGCCAGGACACTCGTTTTTGGTCCCAGCACAAGCTCTGCCTCCTCTGCTCTCTCACGGGGCAGAGAATCCAAATGAAACCTTGGAAAACCCACGTCTCCCTCAGCTCTTTCAAACACCTGAAAAGCAGGATCACGACCCGAAATCCCTCATGTCACACAGCCCAGGATCTCCAGGTCAACCCTGAGATCTCACAAACTGCAGTGCAGAGGATTTAGACCCAAAAGTGATGTTTGGCACAATCCTGATTCCGAGGGGACCTCACACACCTTTCCCAGACATGGAGACCCTGTGACTTTCCCAGTTTACACCAGTGGAGAGCAGGGCATGGAAGTGGCTGTAGGATGAGAGGTGGCAGTTTTGGGGGGATGAGAACGGGTGTGTCACAAGGACAGAGTGGAGACACCAGCACCCAGGACCCCCCAGGACCCCCCAGCACCTTCCAGGACCACCCAGTGCTCCCCATTCCCTGCAAGGACCACCCAGAGCTGCAGCCCCACACCCTGACTAAGCAAAA